TGGCCTATGATGTCCTTGACCAGCACCGCATATTTGAACCCAAGTGCCTGGAGGCGTTCCCTAACCTGAAGAACTTCATGTCCCGCTTTGAGGTGATGCCTCTGATCTTATTCTTGTGTATCCTTTTGTCCTTGCCTGCTTCCCTTATGCTTTCTTGCTGCTGGAGCCGACATAAAGAATAGCATTGACTGACCACTATCTTTATATGCCAGGAACTGTGCCTACATCTTACATTTTTTGTGTCAAATTTATCATCACAACATTGCCAGAAGGTTGATAGAATTATGAGCCCCACTGCATAGAGACTGCAGAAGACGTCATTTGCTAAGTGTCCCAGTGTCAGGAGGGTTGTGCTGGACTCCCTGTCAACTCTGGTATCTAAGGGTGACAGGAGGGGATTCTCCCTATTTTGTGCTCAAAGAAAGAGCTTTAGGCCCCTGTACAGCTGGTTTTCCAGCCCAGCACCCTTTGCAGGATGAATAGCATGTGAGGAGAGTGTGTAGCTGGCATGAAGGGGCAATGAGACCCTTTGGTTGTAACTTTTGCTGGACTGGGCACACACATGGGTGCCCAGCTGGAGGATTTTATCTTGCCCTGTGCTATGGTTGGGGACATTCCTTCTCTCCCTTCTCCTGCATTTTTGCAGTACCTGAATTTTCCATTTGTGAAGTGGGGAGGACACTAGTTTCTACTCTTACTAACATTCCCCACCTCCTCAGTAGGAGGCTGTGTGTCAGTCTCAGAGGGAGATGCACAGACCCTTCCCCCTATGCTGGGACTCAGCGTAGCCGAGGTCAGCTGGCATACCAGATTGTGGGGTACATGTACCACCACTTGGGTGCTGGGGAGCACAACCTGACCTCACTTGATAGTTAATCATATATCACTCAAAGTTCACCTGTTTGAGCCCAGCAAAGCCTATTTTATTAGAGGTTTGGGAATTTGAGGCATTAGTCTAACTGGTTTTTCAACCTGGCATTTGCTTTCCTTTCCCACCCCACATGAAGCAATGTATTTTCTCAGTTAGTTCTCATCAGCCCTGGTCCTGCCCAGGCAGAGTGGCCTTTAAGATTATGCAAGAGCTGGCGATATTGTGAAGAAGGGTGGGGGAAAGCAGAGTGCTGAAACTTGAAGCCAGCTGAGCCATGGAAACCCTGGATCTCAGAATCCTTTACAAATTAGCTGGGCCCCTTTCCTGGTAAAGTGGCACATAGCACATCTGAATGTCGTTCTGTGTATTCTGCTATACTAGAGGCAGATGGGAGATATTTTGGGGCCTGGTATAGTTTTGATTGGTATCAAGTATAGCAGTTTTAGCTTTCTAATTTACATAAATGGTCCTTTCTTTGCGGGTCCTCTTCCCCTTCTCCACTTACATCCAGCATTTGTTGAGTCACTGGGTGAGATCTGGGCTCCTCTCCAAGGTACACAGGCATGTCCTCAGCCCCTTTACTTTACTGGATCCCTTCTCTGTGTTATTACAGGCAAGCACTAGCATCAGCATGAAAAAGGATAGAGTTTCAGCATGTGGGGAGTAAGAGAACCTCTTGGCTGGGTAAGCGGGGAGTGCAGCAGAGAGAGCATAGAACTGGAGGGAGAGCGAGCCCAGCTAGCTCCATCCAGCCTTTGTCTCTTAGTAGCTAGGTGAGAATGAGGAAGCTGTGTTCCTCAGTTTCCCTCTGACGGATGGTGATGGCAGGACCTTTCTTGCCGGTCAGTTGGGTGAATTTTCTTCCTGCATATCTTAATCCTTAATGGATGTTCCTGGTGTGGTGTTGTTGGAACTCAGTGGGGCGTCAGACCTGAGCTTTCACTTTCTCTCTCCCACTTGCAGGGCCTGGAGAAGATCTCAGCCTACATGAAGTCCAGCCGTTTCCTTCCAGGTCCTATGTATCTAAAAATAGCCAAGTGGGGCAACAAGTAGGACCGTGTAATTCCTCACCACAGAAGGGGACCCCTCACTGGACCTGCTTCCCAAGCGCCCAGGACACAACAGGCTCCCTCAGTCCCTATTCAATCTTCTCAGTATGTCTTTCTTTTTTCTGTGGAGGACCACCTAGGCGACTCTCCTTAAATGAGGGGCAGTTGCCTCAGTTTTGGCTGAGCCTGCCCCTATTTCCACGTATTGACATGTACTGAGCTGGCTAACACCCTTTCCTTATCCCTTCAATTGAGCAATGCATATGGTCTAGCCGAGGTGCTGATGGTAATCTTTGGAGATGACAGATGTGTCTCTCCGACCCCCTGTTGCTCCCTCGAGTGAGCTGGGATGAGGCAGGATGTGTGAGCCAATGCTCCATGCCTTGGATTGAGCCTTGGAGTAGGGGCTATGACTTCCTGGGGCTTCAAAGATTACACATCACAGTTGAAGCACTGACCCCAAAACATTAGATTCTATCTCAGTTGTGTTATGCAGATTACTTTCTGCACATCCTTCTCTCTGCATATGGCAGAGGTGATTTCAGGCCTCCCCGCTAGCCCAGCTCACGGCACTCATCTCTTTCCCGCCACTCTCACCGTCACTCATCCTCAAGCCACTCCCCCTTGACAAATGAATAAAATCTGGGTTTGGTCCTGGGTATAGGCCTTTGTTCCGGATGGCCGTCATTGTGACTGGACTTAGGACCCCTTGGCTCCCCATAACTACAAATACACCTTAGTGTCTTTATTCTCGCCACGGGTTGCACTGGAAGTGGTAGGTTGGAATTAACTTGCTACAATTCCAATTACTTTTCATGGGATTAGAAATGAAAACTTCTTGGGCCTGGGAAGGGCTCTCTGTATCTTTCTTTTCACATCTCTTCTGAAGGGCTTATTGGCTTCCTTTCTGGCGTGAATCCCTCTGTAGTCGAGTCTGTGTCCAATAGTGTTCACCTCTGTACTTCTGCAAAGTTCCCTTTCCCCTTTCCCCTTCCTTGAATCCATCCATGTTGTTCCTGCCCTGTGTTGAGGAGCCGAGCTGACGCTGAGCTTCCCAGCTGTGCCTAGGAGATCAGTACTGCCCAGTACCGCCTGGTGAGCGGGAAGGAGTCTCAGTGTGTGGCTACCCAAGCCCTGTTTCTCCTTAACCTGGCTATCCCTCCTCTGCACTCCCAGGATTGTTTTCCAGTAGCATCTCCCACTGTATTACACGGGATGTATGTATCGAACTCAGAGTGTCTTGAGCAAAATACCTTGACCATGTTGAATATATTCTCTGACACGTGTGACACTGCCTGACATAGGTAATGTTTAGATCATTTGGAAAGTGGAAAGAGTTGTTCTCAGGGAAGCTTTGGTGGGCCTGTCGAGCTGGTATTGGGATTTGGAGCTCCTGGCACAGCTATCTTCGAGTGTAAGGAGGTACAGAATGAAGAGGAAAAGATTTTACTTGGTCAGATAGTGGAGGCTGAGTCACTAGCTCGCCGTCACAGAAGCATTGGGAGGCTCCAGCTGAGCTGCCAGCAAAGTGACCTGAGATGTGCAGGCCTAGCTTGCTGGGCTGCAGTGCAGCAGTGTATGCAGTTTGGGGCTGCGGCATTGTAGATCAGGGAAGCCATACAGGAGGAGGAAAATGGGAGACGGACCTGGCGGGCAGCCTCCTGACGCAGCAGTTGTCCCATGAATGCTGGCCTTGGTCAGACTGAGATGCAGCTAGAGACAGGAAGCTGGTTTAAGGAGAGTCCTGATGAGCATTTGTCCTTAGCGGCAACGCCAGCCTGCAGTTAAGAAATAAGAGAGCCAGAGGTGTGATGTTCAAGGTCACTGTAAAATCAGTGATGACTAAACATATGAGACAGAATGCCACTGAAGCTAAAAGTTTAGGAATCTGGTAAGATAAAAATTATTTAAGCAAACTGTTGTTAAATTTTAATTTAAAGACAGACATGATAGAAATATATAGGAAAAATACAGGTGAACATGAAACTATGATAAAAGTTACGATAAAGTAGATAGATACAAATATTAAACCAGAGTAAAACAGATTCAGATCTACAGCAGTGGTCACAAACACTTGCCACAGAGGACCTGTATCATCTCTGTACGGTCTTTCCTAATTCCTCTACTGGACTGTCATAGACCACACTTAGTAAATGATTAGGGCTGTACTCCAACAGAGCTTTGTTTACAAACCAAACAACTGATTCAAATACAGACAAACTATGTGAATCAATATCTCTCTGGAGAAGACATACAAATGCTAATAAGAAGATAAAAAGTTGCTCAACATCACTACTAGAGAAATACAAATCGTTCCTTTCTGGAACTAGCATATCTGATGAGAAGGTTGGTTCTAGTATGAGTTGAATTCACCTGTAGATCTTTCTGTGCTGAGGTTTTTCTTAATGAATTAGCATTGAGTTAGTAAACAGGTTAGCCATCAGCAATGTGGGTGGGTATCATGCAATCAGCCAGGGCCCTTACAGAACCAAAAGTAGAGGAGAGATGGGTGAGTTTGGTCTCTCTCTTTGGCTGAGGCATCTATCGTCTCTTCTCCTGGAATATCTGTACTCCTGGTTTTCTGGCCTGGAAATTAAGTTTAGGACTTACACCACCACACCCCATTCCCATCTTCAATCTCAGGAGCCTTTGGATTCAGATTAGAATCCATCACAGGCTTTCTTTACTGCACTACCTTGCAGATGGCACATCATGGGATTTCTTCATCTTTGTAATCACATGAGTCATTTACTAGTATAGGTACATGTGTATAGGTTAAATTGCTAATATGGGTATGTGTATATACAGTATTTATATAATATAGGTACACTATATGCAAAACAATGTAGAAAACACATACATGAATTGACTGTACTAATCATAAGTGAATTTGTAAAAGCCAAACAAAACAGATAAAGCTAGAGGATACACATTTATTTGTTGACGTTTTTCCATTTGGGGCATTGACTGAAATAAAAGTCCAAGGAGGCGTGGAGGGAAAACATTATCTTTCCTTGTGGTAAATCTCTTCGCTCAGTATCAGCACTTGAAGGCTCCCATGAAAACATCTCTCTGACGGCACAGTTTGCCTATTCCATGTGCCTGAGGGTGTGTGGGAAGCTGTGGAGAGTGGGTGAACAGAGTGAAAGGAGCTATGTCTTGGTGACCTCCTTCACTGATGTCCATGGCCTTGGAAAAATTTAGGGGCTTAATATATTCAACTTGTGGCTGCTGCTCAGGAGGGCGGTATTCAACGCAAGAGGGGTCTCAGTCAAGTCACTGTAAGTTGGCAGAGACTGGTGGGAGCTATCTGTACAGTCTTTCCAGTCATGTCATCGATTTGAAAACAAGTTCAGTTTATTCTTCCTGGCTCTAGCCCAGCAGTTCTCAAAGAATTAATTAGTACAATGCGCCATGATCCAGTTGCTTTGTAAAACCCCACACTGAATTGTATCTTACTTCTCAGCCTGTTGGGAATGAAGCATGTGTTTTAGGCCTTCCCCATTGGTGGCTCAGGGAACCAGGGTTGAATGGGTCAAGGCTGCAGCAGAACCAGGCCCTGCCTTTGTCTGCTCGGCCATCTTCATAAAGTCAGAGCCCACTCATCATGGTGGCTGATTTCTGAGTCCACGCCCAGCAGCACTTTGACACTGGGTTACTGGGACATCTGAGTGTGAAGGAGAGGTTCAGCTAGGCCAGGATTCGAGGGAGTGGCTCATACTTGGGGCACTGATACCTAAAAATGATTCCTCTTCAGGACTTGCTGGAAGCACCTACTAGTTCCTCTCTGGAGGGCTTTTGTGTGCAAGTGTGTACGTGTCCGGTAGTAATGGTATTTGATGTAAGGTGACTGGCCTATCTGTAGGAAAGACGTCACACAGTTAGGGTCCCTATCTCTGTGAAGTCTGTTATCGGCCATCTCTCTTAGCTGGGTCATACCGTCTGCCTGCACCTGAAATACACAGGTTAGCGTTATGAAGAGAAGAGATAGGTGATGGAGAAGTAATGGCATCCTCTTTCTCAGACCATGCCTGATCTTGCTGATTGTTACACAGTAACCCATGTCTTAGATACCTGTTGCTAAAGGCCTCTTCCAGTTGGAGCTGAAGGCTAGCTTTTTCCTAAATCCCTCTGAAAGCATAGTTTGCCTTTCCAAATCGGGATGCTAAGAGGAGATTACTGCCCAACCCCGTATCAGTAATGGATGAGGTTTCTACTTAGAGCTTGCCTAAACTTTTTAAAAGCCTTATTTATATAGGGTCCAGAGATACGACAAGCATTTCCACCCTAAACTTTGGAATGAGAGACTGAAGCCTTCATTCCTGGGGCTTCACCATCATTACTGCTCCCACAGAAATGTTATTATACCATTGTGAAGTGCAGCTGCTGCAGGTCCCCTTTCCCTGAGAAGACACTTATTGGGTAGTGTTCCATCTTTTCCATCTAAGTAGCTGCAGCTCCTGGCCCTGTGTCCAAGGCTTTGTGGAATAACCTTCAATGCAGCAAATGTGCTCCAGCCTGTCCACCTGACCATTGTGTGGCAACTGTATCTGAATCTACCAGACCTGTCCCAGTCCTCAGAGACCTGTAAACCCTGGTCCTGCAACCAAGGTCACTATAGCACTTGTGGGCATCACTGCAGTTGACTTTAGCTAAAGAAATTGCACAAATTCTGCACTATGTGCCCAGTGAGAACCAAAGCTAATGCGTTCTATACATGATACCTTAGAACACATCTGCAGCTAAAAGTGTTTCAGAATGAAACCACCCTATAAAATAGGAAAGAGTAGCTGTTCTAGTAGGTGTGTAAGTATCCATGCAAACATGAAAAATCAAGTAAACATGATACCACCAAAGGAAAATATTCTCCATTCCATGACCCCTAAGGGCGGAAAATTTACACATTTCCTGAAAAGGAATTCAAAATAATGATCAGAAAACTTAACTACATACAAGGGAATACAGGCAGAAAATGTAAGCCAGGCATTGTGGCACACACCTGAAATGCCAGCACGCAGGAGGCTGAGGCAGAAGGCTTGTCATTAAGTTTGAGGCCAGCCTGGACTACATAGTGAATTCAAGGCTAGTCTGAACTGTGTAGTGACACACCATCTTTAAAAAATCCAGGAAAGCAATAACAACAACAACAACAAGAAAAAGAAAATTAAACCTTAGTGAAATCATGAAAAACAACTTATTGTATGAATGAGAAAATCAACAGTTAGGTAATTATAAAAAAAAAGTATG